ACATAGCAGCTTACCACATTGTGGAGATATATACAGTTAGGTCTTGTATAGTGTACTGACTGATTTTCTGTGTCACCTTGACACAAACTAGAATCATCTGAAAGGAAGAAATCTCAGTTGAGGAAATGTCTTGATGATATCAAGCTGTAAGGCATTTTCTCATTTAGTCATAACTGAGGGAGGACACAGTCCATTGCGTGTGTTGCCATCACTGTGCAGGTGGTCCTGGGTTCTATCATAAAATGAGCTGAGTTGGCCAGGGGAAGCAAGGCAATAAACAATTCTCATTTATGGTCACTGTATCAGTTCCTGCCTCCAGGATGCTGTCTTTTTTGAGTTCCTGTCCTGAGTTCCCTTAGTAATGAACAGCAGTGCTAAAGTGTAATCCAAATAAACCCTTCCCTCCCCAACTTGCTTTATGGCTATGATATTTTGTAACATCAATGTAAATTTTAACTAAGAAAGCTAGAATAATTTTGTGTTAGAGATAATTTTTAGATGTGCACTGTTTCTAAATATCAGGCAATATAATGACCATCTATATAAAAAAGAAGCTTCTGTTGTTATTAAGTAATTTTAACATTTATATGGTATGTTGAGAGAGACTAAATCCGTAGAATATGTATATATTCCATTTACAGTGATACACACTGTTTTTACTTATGGGTATATATTCCCATAAAACTATTACCTTTGAAGTACTAAAAAGTGAACTGACAAGAAAATGAATTAAAAACAAAGTAAAGGAGAAAATGACATGATTTTTTTAAATTCCATATTTGTACATATATTCCTTGCAATTACTAGTAGCTTTCTTTCAAAGATGATATATACCGATTTTTTTAAAGGTTTGCATCAAGTGTTTTTAACTTCAAAGAAATCAAAAGGAAACTGGTATGGCTAACATTTAATTTTAAGTTCTTAGAATTGTCAGAATGAATATATGAAATAAAGGTCGCAAAGATGAGAGAGGAAATATTAGAGGTTTCCCAAGGCAGTGAGCACAGATTCTTTGTCATTTCTAGTTAGAAGTCTTTTCAATAATCAAGCATCTGAGAAAGCTAGTGTCTCCACACTGAGATTCAAATGTTACTATTAATCTACTCAAAGCATGATTTTAAATGTTGATTTAGTTGTAGAAATGTGAGTATCAGTGAGTTGACCATTCACAGCATAACTATATCTGTGTTCCCTGATAACATATGTTTTCCAAAAGTTAATTCAAAGCAGAGTGTGAAGAAAAATTGCATGCACTAAGCAGTTACTTACACTGTGACTTATTGCAGAAAAAAACATTTTCCTGTTACACATGATCACACTACAAAATTAAGCTTCCATGGTAAGAGGATATGTTCTAACAATCTATCATAGTGTGTGACACATTTTAGAAAATCATAGGTGTTTTTCCTCAGACTATAGAACAGACAATTCTTGAATGAAAGCAAAATATATTTTTCCCTTGTGTGTGTGTTAGGATCCTTTGTATGATTGTGAATTATAAATAAAAAATTCTTAGTTATCAAAAATATTTTACCAAGCATAAAGTTCAGATTTTATGTATTTGTTTAAAATAAGAAAACACAGAATGATGTGGGAGTATATCATATATCAATCTGTTGATTTCATTGGTTAGGTAATAAAGAAACTGCTTGGCTGGCCCTCATAGGTTAAAACATAAGTTAAAACATAGGTTAAAACATAAAAGTAAACAGAACAGAATGCTGGGAGGAAGAGAAAGTGAGCTCAGACTTGACAGCTCTGCTCTCTGGAGCAGAGACGCCAGGCTCCCCTCTCCGCGATACCTCTGCTCTCTGAGGCAGACGCATGAAGCTCAGACCCAGGATGGATGTAGGCTAGAATCTTTCCCAGTAAAACTGATGCTACACAGTTTATTAGAGATGGGTTGATCGGAATATCAGAATTAGCCAGTAAGGGCTAAAGCTAATGGGCCAAGCAGTGTTTAAATGAATACAGTTTGTGTGTTGTTATTTTGGGGCATAAGCTAGCTAGGCAGCCGGGGTGCTGGAGACGCAGCCCCACCACTCCTATTACAACAACAGAAAGCTGAAAAGAAAACCAAATACTTCTAAAGAGTTGATGATATATTTATAGTTTCACCTGTATATGACTTACAAATTATTGATTACTGAAATTTTTTTCAATTTCATAATGCTACCACAGATTATAGTGGTCAAGTTATATCAGACTACCTTTCACTAACATTAAAGAAACAAAATTTAAATAACAATAAATGAAGTATTGCCAGATATTTGTATCTATTATTTTATTTCTGTGAATTACCTAAGGCATTTGGAAATTGCCTCTACAACCTGTATTCCCTTGTAAGCTCTGTGATTATCTTAGAATTGAGAAAACATTATTTATATGATCATTTATAAAAAGACAATTGCAGGTTTAAAAAGTATGTAGGTACTTTTATATCCAGTCTTCTATCCTAATGATATTGTAATTCCTTCAAAATATAATGTCACTAGGTAAACCTAGGAAGTCAGAGCAATCAAAATTGCTCTCCTTTTTAATTGTGTTTGTGTGTGTGTGTGTGTGTGTGTGTGTGTGTGTTAGGCATTTCCTCCTGTATGTTAAAATGTTTGTACTCACAGTGAGCATGTGTGTATTCACAAACATATGTGGAAGTTACAGGCTGACAGTGGAGTCTTCTTCAAACTCTATTTTATTTAATAAAGAGTGTCTCTCTCTGATCATGGAGCATGCCAGCAATTGTGATTGTTGTAGCTGATCATTTTGCCCCAGTGATCCACTGCTTCTGTCTCAGAAATGTAGGATCAGTGAAGGCTACCACACCTGCTGGACTTAACCATATGTTCTGGGCATTAAACTGGTCTTCATGTTTGCAAAATAAGTGATTTATTAAACAAACAACTACATCTTCCTCCCAGCATTTCTTTTTTTTTTAATTTAAATAACTTTTTCATTTATTTTATATACAAACCACCACCCCCCTTCAATTACCTCCCTGTCTCTATCTAACCTAACCTCTCTCCATCCTGTCATCCTTCCTCCATTCAGAAAGTAACAGGCTTCTCATGGGATTGCATAAAGCATGGAACATCAAGTTGAGGCAGGTGCCAGGTAATATAACATGAAAAACAGGTTACCAAGCCAGCTAAGCTCCAAGTAGAGGATGTCTTACTGAGAGTCGAAGCAGCACATATTTTTTATTCACTTTAAATGTTTCTCTACCATACTATTTGCAGAGGTGATAGCAGACACACATTAATGTTGGAAGAAAAAAATAAGGAAGAATTGAAATAAAACCTTGAAACTTTAAATAAAACATTGTTTTGTAAAACAATTGTTTTCTTAATTCAAATGAAATGTATTTATTAGCCAAATTCTCAAGATTTTTAGTCCTTTTACTTTGCTTTTTTTTTTTTTTTTTTTTTTTTTTT